AGAGCCATCAGCATTCCTGGATCTTACAGCTGCATCTCCAGAAATGTAATGTATCTTATCCAATGCACCAAATGCCCTGATGGAAAATACGTAGGAGAGACCAAACAACAACTGCGCACCAGAATGAACGTACACCGGAAATCTATCAAAGACAGAAATACCCAATTACCTGTGGGGGCACATTTCTCACAAGAAAACCACTGCCTCTCCAATCTCTCAGTCCTGATCCTCAAAGGAAACCTACAAAACACTTCCCAGAGACGAGCCTATGAACTCCACTTCATCAACCTCCTGGATACTAAAAATCATGGACTAAATATAGACACTGGATTTATGACACATTATAACCTGCCTGACATCTGACTCCCCAGGTATCTCTCCACTTTCATCCCTCTTCTCTCTCTTTCCGCCCCCCACCCCCCCAGCCTGTCTCTTACCCATTGACTCCTCAATCTACATTTTCACTGACTACCTGTCTTGTCTGCATACCAGACCAGCCCCTGGCTTCTTTACCTTTCATTCCATCCAGGAAGAGCGCACACCAACTGCTGAAACTTCCTTAGCCTGACGAAGGGTTTTTGAACCCGAAAGCTTACTTAATAATTATTTTCCAACTATTTGGGTAGGTCTAATAAAAGATATCAGATTCAACCAAGGAACTTGTCTGCCTATGTCCTTAGACCAACACGGCTACAACCTACACCCCTGTACCATGTCCTTGTAGCATTTCCTCTGGCCCCCATGAGATCTCAGACTGTTACTAAGCCAGGAGTAGATCCAGGTATCACCAGATACATAGGCATGCAGTCTAGACCTCCACTGTTGGGGCAGATCCCACTGTCTTCTACTATTTGGTAGCCTCTTCCTGGGTCTCCAAGAAAGCAGTCTACAATGAAGACTTGGGCTACTTATCACTGCAATCTGGGGCATGCGTCCTACTGCACGTCGAAATACATGGGGAAAACTGACCTGTAAATACACAAAGTAAAACCAGGCTAAATGCTGCTGTATTGATTCTAAAATTGCTTTCTGCTAAATACAGCCTTTTTCTCTTGAACAAAATGTATGCACCTACTTTCTTGTGTATTTTCCAAACCCTTCTGTTTCATAGCCAGTGTTCCTCCCTCCAAGTTTCATGCTAATTCCAGTATTCCACAAATTTGTTTTTTGTGCAAGTATTTAATTTTTTGAGGCCTGAGGTCACTGGTATACTGTCTATGCTAGAGGCCTGTTATTTCCCATGATTCCACCTTGGGTCATGAGATATGATCTTCCTCAAATGTTGAGAACTCCCAATTTTAGTCTCTGTTGGAGGGAGGAAATTGCTTTAAGAGGTTAGTTTACGTTTTGTTTGATATAGTGGGCCAACAGCAGTAGTAGTGGATTTACAGCTTTCAGCAAAACAGTACAATAAAATACATAAAATAACAGCATTTATAACAGGATTTATATAAATTATAACTTTTACTAAAAGCATGTACCAGGATTATTCAGTCTACCAGTTTAAAATGAAGCTGTAAACAATTAAACAAAACAGGAGAAATCTATTTGCTTTTAGACCTTATTCTTTGTGCAAATATACCTAAGAAATATAAGATAGGATCTGAAGTATTAGAAGGAAGCCCATTATTTAATATTTCTCATTAACAAAGTGAAGAAATCAACTGATCAATAGAAAAGGCAACTGAGAGAAATTCCTCTGGCCCATCAACCAGAGGAATTCCAAGTGCCTGGGGAGACCAGAAATTTCTGGAGGATTCATCAGTATTGGTCTGGTGAATCTCGAGCACCTAAAATAATGCTGTCAGGGGGTGCAGGGGAGGGGGGGGAAGAGGCTTTGGAGGTATTTTATCATCTATCTAGCATAGAGCTATGATATCTAGGAGAGTGATATTCTAGGCCAAGGGTGTTCAAACTCCACCTGCAACCTCCAACCTCCAAATACACCCCATGGAGCCATCACACTTGGCCCACAAGGCTCCGCATAGTCAGGAAATTTGGCAGTGGAAGAGCTGTGGCTATTAATATGGTGACACTCCCCCCCTGTGAAGTTCCCAAAACCCAAGCTCCGTGCAGCAGGCCAGAATGGGCCAGACTGGTTCCCCCAAAGACTGGAGCCACCCCACCCTGTTTCTAGATCAGGGGTGGACCATGTCCCCTTTCTTCCCTGTGGGCTGGGTTGGGACCTGGCCATACTTCCCCTTCCAGGGCTGGGCTACAACCCCTTCCCTCTCCATAGGGGTGGATCTAGCTCCTTCCCCTGCAGGGCTGTGTTGGGGCTGGTCTGTCCCCACCCTCCTCCATGTGGTCAGTTGGTGCCCACCTGGGTGCTGGATCAGGAACACTGGGTGGATCTGACCTACCGATGGATCAGGCACTGTCAGTCCAGTCTGCCATGCACAAAAGGTTGAGCACCACTGTCCTAGGTTGATTTATTCTATGGAAAAGGCATCTTAACATTTCTTTCACAACCCAAATGGGAGACCACCTAGAGATGGCAGAGATTCTCCTGCTGCAGATTTGGTATCCAGTTTAAGGGCAGTAGAGGTGAGGCTTGTGGAGTTAAGGAGTTATCACAGGGCAAACTGGGGTCTATTCCTTGGGACAAACAGTAGTACTGGAGGGCAAAAGGCAAGGCTTTGAGGGCACTCCGCAGACAGGTTTGTGACAATCATATCCCAGAGATTAAAGTGTAAGAACTTGTTTCCCTCTGCCTGGGAAAAGAGAAGCCCATCGTCTCTACAGAAGCATACTTCCTTTCACCTAGCCTTCTGCAAAGGGGTGTTTCTCTGCACTGATCAAAGAGAGACTGTAGCAGGGGTAGGAACATGAGTCTTGACATGAGAGGTTTAACATGAGTGTGTCTGGGCTTCCAGGAGTAGAGGGTTGTTGTGTGTGGTAATAGGAACTGGACCTGAGAGAGCTGAGAGTTCATAGATACTAGGGTTGGAAGGGACCTCAACAGTTCATAGAGTCTGACCCCCTGCCTAGGCAGGAAAGATGATGACCCCAGCCTACCCAGCCTTATCTACTGCCCAGGGTAGGGGAGAGCACCACATCCCTTGGAAGCCCATTCCAAATTTTGGCTACCCTTACCATGAAGAAGTTTTTCCTGATATCTAGCCTAAATCTGCCCTCTGTCAGTTTGT